AAAAAAACTGGAGAGTACAAAACCTGGTGCAGCTCTGCACAGAATCCAACCAGCTTCCAGGTTTTATTGTCAAAGCTTCATTGAAGAAGCTGAAGTTAAAAGTTGATTGGCTACCATGCACAGCTCCACTAGATTTTGCACTCTCCAGTGTTAGTAAATCAACCCGTGTGTGTTTGCAATGCAGTAGGGCAGCCACTTGGCACAAAACCTGAAAGACAACAGAGATCACTGTAGAAGCAGCAACTACTATTGTGATTCTCTGCTTCCCACCTGTTCCACAGGTATAGTAAATGCCAGGGGGCAGACTGACAATTCATGGGGCCCCTGGGCCATAGGGGATCATGGGGCTCCTGTGTCCTTGCTCAAGTCAAAGCACACCCAAAAAATCCTATAAAAAAGGTACTAGGGGCATTTCATGGGGCCCCTGCTGACCCGGGGCCCTCTGGCTGTGCTCGAATGGTCAGTCCGCCCCTGGTAAATGCATACTTAATTTGTCTAGGCTTGAACAATGTAACTATGCAATACATACCATTCCTGCAATTCAGCTTTTATTGATGTGCTCAGATGCAAAAAAAAGCCTGTTACATTGGTAATAATGAATTGAATTTTTAAGCCATTGCAAATATTATTGAAAAGAAAAATAAAATACACCTTATACGGGGAGCAAATGCACTTTACTGGCCAGCTATAGTTTCAGGTTGTGATTCAATTATTGGGAGCCGAAAGTACTTCTGAAAGCAACAATGATATAAATTACACAATGGTGGCTAGACTGTCCTCTGGTACCTGAACATATTGTCATGTTCCCCTGTTGACCTTATTAAATGAATACATTCTGTGCTCTTTATCACTGAAGAGAGGTAGGAGGACATACAACCATGTATTTAATCATTGCATTGCAGGGTACAAAAAAAAGTAGGAAAAAAATGGCCTATGACCACTTCTCATGTATTGCTTTGTGAGGTCAGTTTATTTTATGGTACACAAGTGCTTAAAGCAGAACTCTTGTTTGTACAAAAAGGCTTCCCCATTCATCATCTCTCCATGCTCCCCACTTCTACAACTGTTTTAAAATTGTCTTTATACATAACTTTTTTCTTTGGCTCTTGTATGATGAAAAGACATCTTCAAGTCTTCTTCTGCTTCTTCCTGCAGTGTGTGGTCTTCAATACAGCAGAGAACAGCACTGATATATAACATCAACACAGCTATCTGCAGCATTGTACTAAGACCAGAATGAATGTCCATGAAAACCTTGGTTCACAAGAAAATGCATTAAGTAATGCTGGCCGTGTGTGTGGGATAGCGCTAGAGACAAGCTGAATGCTGGGCGCCTCTCTTACTGTAGGTCCACCAAGCTGCTATTCAAAAAACAAACAAACATCTAACTTCCAAATATGGTTTAGCATGTAAAATGCTATCACTTTAACCACTTGCCCTCCAGAGGATTTCCCCCCCTTCCTGACCAGGCCATTTTTTGCGATACGGCGCTGCATTACTTTAACTGACAATTGCACAGTCATGCAACGCTGAACATAAATTTAATTTTTGTCATTTTTTTCACACAAATAGAGCTTTCTTTCAATGGTATTTGCTCACCTCTGCATTTTTTTATTTTGTGCGCTATAAACAAAGCCCGACAATTTGGAAAAGAACATATATTGTTTTACGTTTCGCTATGAAACATGTCCAATAAAAAAATGTTAAAAAATCAAATTTCTTCATAAATTTAGGCCAAAATGTATTCTGCTACATGGTTTATGTGAAAGTTATAGCATTTACAAATGGCGGTACATATACTGTAATTTTTATTTCAATTTTTTTTTATACTAGTAATGGCGGTGATCAGCGACTTATAGCGGGACTGCGGTGGGCATTCTGACACTGGGTAGGAACTGACTAACTGCCACTGACATCTCCAGTGACACTAATACAGTGATTAGTGCTAATAAAAAAGCACTGACACTGTACTAATGACACTGGGCAGGAAGGGGTTAACATCTGGGGTGATAAAAGGGTTAACTGTGTGCTGCATGTGTTTTACTGTGTGCTGTGTTTGTGTTTTACTTTGGAGACATGCTGTTTTGTATCGCTCTGCTGTGCAGAGAGATACAACACAGCATGTCTATGCTGACTGGAGAGAAACCTGTGTTGTTTACACACAGGTCTCTCCCCTGTCAGCTTTCTCTCCTGTCAGCTTTCCCTGAAGATCACCGGATGCTGGTAGGGACCCAGTAATTGGCGGCCAAGCTGTTAAAGTGGCATTAAACCCACAAGCAAACGTTTATTATATTGCAGCTTACCAATCCTTAGATGTGATGGCTGCATTGGTTTTCTTTTTTAAGTTTTCTTTCTTCTATTTTCATCTGGTGATCCAGCCAGCAAGTAATTTTCCGAAGCACAAGCTCTCTAGCAGAATGTATCAGTTTACATTTGCAAATTGCATGCGAAGTCACACCTTATTTTACGCAATTACAGCGGTAATATCGGTGCGGTTCCAACTTGGTCGGAGCTGCACCGATTTCTAAAGTAGTGCATGCGCTACTTTTGGTACAATTTGCATAGACATCTGTGTCAGATGTCCTGCAAATCGTACCTCAAATCGAAATGGCATCCCGACTTTGAAATCGCGCGAATTACACTGAAGTTGCACAATTTCAAAGTCAGGATCAATGTGATCGGGGCAGGGGAGGACTGACAACTCATGGGGTTCCCCGGGCAATAGGAGATCATGGGACCCCTGTGTCCTTGACCACAGTCAAATCAAACCCAAAAAAGCCTATAAAAGATACCAAGGGCATTTTCATGGGGCCCCCTACTGACCCCGGGCCCTTGGGCAGTGTGCCCGAGTGCTCGAATGGTCAGTCCGCCCCTGGGTGTAAAAGTTAATGCAGGAGAAATATGCAAATTTCTAATTTAGCTTTTCTAGCTTCTACTTTGATTCCTCCTAGATCTATGATGAATTTATACAAAGCATCAATTACACAGATAGTGAATCAGTTCATATCATTTACAACAAATCAAGGAAATAGTGATTGAATGTGCTCTTTGCAATCATTATAATTAGTGTAGCTAAGTACATTAACATTAGGATAACTAATTCCATGAGATGACTATAGAAAAAAGCAGGAACAGGAAAAATGGAAAATGCAGTCTCTCGAAACACTTGCAACTAATTATTTCTTGCAATTGCATGAAATATCCCACATTTGTTCTTACCGTTTGCAGGCATAGTGTCCCAGTGCTTAGAGCTGGAGTGGATACAATATATGATCATGGTGCACGAGTTGCACGATAAAACAACTGCACACAAATACATTTTGTACGAATAATTACAATGAGCTGTAGAAAAATACCTCCTACACCCCTAAGTTCAGGCACGCTGATAAAGACTAGTCATGCAGTGCCATTGTTAGTCCTATGTTGATGGTCCATTTAAAAGAAAAGAAAATTGCTTGTACATTGGGTTGTGTGTTACCTGCTCCTGAGCTGGGCACCCTGTGCGATGTGCATTTTTAAGCCCTGGTTCACACCAGTGCAACTTGAGAGATCAAATCGGGTGCAACTCAAAAAATGTTCCTGTACTGACTTCCATTGACATCTGTTAAATGAAGTCGCAAAGTGTGTCAGCAAGCCACAATGAAGTCGCTCTAAATAGTCCACTTTGAATTTGCACGAAGTAGTGCGATTTCAAATTCACATTGGGGTGAACCAGGGCTTAGCTATACACCCTGTGCAACACACACTCCTGAGCCCTGTGTCCCGTGTAATACACACTGCTTAGCCCTGTGGCGTACAAACTTCTGAGCCCAGCACACTGTACTACACATACTCCTGAGCCATTCACACTGTGCAACACAAGCTTTGGAGCCATGTGCCCTGTGCAATACGCAGTTCTGAGCCCTGAGGGATAAGCACTCCTGAGCCCAGTGTGATACCCACTCCTCAGCCTTGCACCCTGTGTGACTTGCACTTCTAAGCTCAGCACCCTGAGCAACACACACTCCTGAGCCTTGCATTCTGTGCAACATGAACTCTTGAGCCCTGCACCTTGTGCAATACACAGTTCTGAGCCCTGTGCAATACCCTTTCCTAATCCTTGCACCCTGTGTAACATGCACTTCTAAGCTCTTCACCTTGTACAATACACAGTCCTAAACCCTGTTACCTATTCAATACACACTCCTGAGCCCTATGCCCTGTGAAATACACACTCCTGAGCCCTGTGCAATACACATTCCTGATCCCTGTGCCCTGTACAATACACACATTTGAGCTATGTGCCCTGTGCAATACACACACATGAGCCCTGTGCCCTATGCAAAACACACTCCTGAGTTCTGTGCTCTGTGCAATACACACTCCTGAGCCCTGTGCCAATAAACACTCCTGAGCCCTGTGCCCTGTGCAATACACACTCCTGAGTTCTGTGCCCTGTGCAATACACACTCCTGAGTTCTGTGCCCTGTGCAATACACACTCCTGAGTCCTGTGCCCTGTGCAATACACATTCCTGAGTTCTGTGCTCTGTGCAATACACACTCCTGAGTCCTGTGCCCTGTGCAATACACACTCCTGAGTTCTGTGCCCTGTGCAATACACACTCCTGAGTTCTGTGCCCTGTGCAATACACACTCCTGAGTTCTGTGCCCTGTGCAATACACAATCCTGAAACCTGTGCCCTGTGCAATACACACTCCTGAGTCCTGTACCCTGTGAAATACACACTCCTGAGACCTGTTCCCTGTGCAACACACACTCCTGAGCCCTGTGCAATACACACTCCTGAGCCCTGTGCCCTAGTGAAACACACAATCCTAAGCTCTGTGCCCTGTGCAATACACACTCCTGAGCCTTGTACAACATGCAGTTCTGAGCCTTGAACCCTGTGCAACCCACAGTCTTGTGCTATGCACCCTGTGTGATATGCACTCTTGAGCCCTGCACCCTGTGTCATATGCACTCTTGAGCCCTGCACGATACACACTCCTGAGTCCTGCATGGTATCTACTCCTGAGCCCTGCACGGTACACACTCCTGAGCCCATCATGATACACCCTCCTGAGCCCTGCATGATATCTACTTCTGAGCCCTGCACGATTCACACTCCTGAGCCCTGCACGATACACACTCCTGAGCCCTGCACAATACACTTTCCTGAGCCCTGCATGATATCTACTCCTGAGCCCTGCACGATACACACTCCTGAGCCCTGCATGATATTTACTCCTGAGCCCTGCACGATACACACTCCTGAGCCCTGCATGATATCTACTCCTGAGCCCTGCACGATACACACTCCTGAGTCCTGCATGATATATACTCCTGAGCCCTGCACAATACACACTCCTGAGCCCTGCATGATATCTACTCCTGAGCCCTGCATGATATCTACTCCTGAGCCCTGCATGGCACACACTCCTGAGCCCTGCATGATATCTACTCCTGAGCCCTGCATGACACACACTCCTGAGCCCTGCATGGCACACACTCCTGAGCCCTGCATGATATATACTCCTGAGCCCTGCATGACACACACTCCTGAGCCCTGCATGACACACACTCCTGAGCCCTGCATGATATCTACTCCTGAGCCCTGCATGACACACACTCCTGAGCCCTGCATGACACACACTCCTGAGCCCTGCATGATATCTACTCCTGAGCCCTGCATGACACACACTCCTGAGCCCTGCATGACACACACTCCTGAGCCCTGCATGACACACACTCCTGAGCCCTGCATGACACACACTCCTGAGCCCTGCATGATATCTACTCCTGAGCCCTGCATGACACACACTCCTGAGCCCTGCATGACACACACTCCTGAGCCCTGCATGACACACACTCCTGAGCCCTGCATGACACACACTCCTGAGCCCTGCATGACACACACTCCTGAGCCCTGCATGATATCTACTCCTGAGCTCTACATGATATACACAGTACACACTCCTGAGCTCTGCACAATACATATTTCTGAGCCTTGCACGATACACACTCCTGAGCTCTGCATTATATGCACTCCTGGGCCCTTCAAGAAACACAATCTTGAGTGAGCAGTGAGGTATGTAATACAATTCTTCCTCATCCCCTACAACGAATGAGAATTTACCCTTTGCAGTTTGGGGAACTACTGAATGGGAAGATTTTTTTTAATTCCTGGAGTTGGATTTTAAGGCATAGTCAGGAACAGTACTGGAAATCTCAGTATCTATTGCAATTAGCTTGCATGAGCATTACATGAAGATTATATCTTAAACCAGGTCTGCTCTAAACACTGTCCATTACTTGTATAGTTGTCTATTTTACACATGGATTTATTCATTGCTTTACATACTGTGCATACATGTTTTATTTGTACCAAGGTGTATTACAATAAGTCAACAGCTGTTTTCACTTACCTTATTGTTGGAAATCTTGTGTTCTAGGATGACCTTCTATAGAGCTTGTTAATATGAGTGAGCTGGCCAGGTATTTTCAATTCCACCCAATGTAGACTTCTTGAGATGTTTCAGTGAGGAATTTTTTTATAGCACAAAAAATGCAATAAGAATCTGCATTGTTATCCAACAACACACAGGAGATTCTACAAAATAAAAATTGCAATTGATTGTCCGTAACTAAGGTTAGGATAAATGGAGTGATGTTTCTAACTTTAGAACCGTTCGAGGGTTTTAAGAGCTCACTGACTGATTTCACTGTTGTTGTATATGCAGTATTGATTGCATTGCATTGTTGTATATTCAGTATTGATTGCATTGCCTTGCATGCTAAAGGTTGATCTGGATGAACATATGTCTTTTTTTAGCCCTTCGCAACAGTCTAAAATTTGAACAGCCATGTCAACATCCTCTTTAAAGTAGTAAAGGAAGAAAAAAAACTCTTCTAAAGAAAGAAAACCTTTTAATAATAACAGACCATTAAATGTGCACTTCATTTTTATGTAAGTTTTCTTTATTTTGGCAGATGTTAAAACACTAGGTCTTTATATCTTTTAGATGTAATGGAAGGCACATGTTCACTTATTCCTTTTCATCAGTAGCCCTTGGGGCTGGAAACAAAGACTGAATATATACATAGATATATAGTATATAATAACATATAGATGGGTACAGAATAGATACAGTCAACATCATAGTTCAATAGAAAACTGACATGAAATACTCTGGAAGTTGTTAAATCCCAATTGATTGTTCTTTTAAAGATCATTCCTTGGCCATTGCCTGAGACTATGTGTTAATAATGTCTGTAGAGGATTAGGCATGCCTGTACATCATTATACAAAATTATTCACAGGGCTAAAAAAATATAACAATGCCAGTCAACAACAATCAGTCAAGGGCTAGCTGCATAGTTAATCTTACCCAATGGCATTGATAATTTCAACCAATTTCTTGGATGAAAGTATCTTGCTCAGAAGAATCTACAGCAGTGTTTCTTAACCTTTTTTCAGTCAAGGCACCGATTGAAATTTAGCACAATCTCGTGGCACCCTTTATAATTCAGCACAATCTTGTGGCACCCTTTCAAATTCTGCACAATCTTCAGGCACCCATAAAAATAAAAATAAAAAAACTAATAGTTTTGTAGAACATGTAGAACACCCACCATTAGAGGTGATATATTCTTCCAAAGCAAATACACCTTTGTACACTGGTGCTGACTAGTATTCCTTGTTTCTCTTCTCCCTCAGTTACTTTCCCTCACTCAGCTAATGTGACCCCAGTGCTGAGAGGTAGGGGCAAGCAAGGATGCTGTGCTGATGCCCGATGTCCTTCTTATCCACTGATGACATCATTGGTTGATAAGTCGCCAGCGGCTAGAAAGTTGTAATGGTGCACAAAGAAAACCTGTAACTTTGTGTAACTAAAAGGCAAGTTTGTATACAATTATTTGGGGCAATTCTTAGGCATTTTGCCAAGGCACTCCTGAAGAAACCTCTCCAGGTTGGAAAAAGTATGATCTACACTATATACTTGTTCTGGGTCTATGACTCAAAATAAATTTATTTATAAAATGTTTGCTGTGTGACTGTCAAGCATAGGGTCAGCATTAACAAACAATCCCATCTTTGCCTAGTATGTCTATTTCCTATAATTGTCAGCTCCATCTATAGATTGTGGTATTTCATGAAAATACTGCATTATGGCCACTAGACGAAGCGGATGATCATAGGAAATAAACATATTACACAAAAAATGTGTGAATGCTCATGACATTTGCACAGCAGCGGTATTGAGGCAACATTATCAATAGACGATAGCAAGAGAAATATAGTTTTCAGGAGAGATCAATAATGGCACAAATTGTTATTTTAAATTAAATATTGGAATGTTAAGCAAAATATTATCTGAAAAACATAGGCACAGGCACGCCAAAAGACAAAAAAGGAACCATAATTGTATAAGACAAAGTAAAAGAATTCTTAAGGTGTATGATGCCAAGCCAATTTTTTAATAGTTTTAAATAGAGTAGGGAAGAGTTAGAATCCCTATCTGGGGCTGCATTAGAGATATTTCCCCTCACTCCCAGTGATAACAGTTTCATGAGAAGGTAAGAGAAGGAAGTCTCTGCACCACAATTGGTAATGTAAGACACTGTAGTAGAGAGATGTATCTAATGCTCTTCTATCAGTAATACTTGCCTAACACAGAAAAAAGCGTTACTATGTCTAGAGAAAATTAGGATTGACTAAACCCCAGACAATGATAATAATACAAGAACTGGTATCCACACTGGAAGAATTCCCCTTTACTTCATCCTTTGTTGGCAACTGTAAAATTTTGGATTTCCCTTCACTTTCTGCTTAGTGACAGTGGACTGAACATACATTAAAGGACGAATCTCCCCAGCAGGGTTGTAGACAGAGTAAAAACTTGGCAGTGTTCTAATATTTTCCCCACAATATCCAAAACAAAAGAAAAAAAAAAGTTTGGCTTAGATATACTTTAAAGGATGTCCATACTTAGAGAAATATGGTGTCTACTCTCTGAAAATTCTAGTTGGAGGCTTTCAATTACTTCAACACTATGAGCCAAAAACAAGCATGCAACAATCAACATTAGTGGATCCGTTCAGAAGAAGTCGGGAAGTGACGAAAAGCGCCAGTGCACGTGACGCCTGACGTAATTGCTCAAAACCAGAAGTAGCGGCGCGGCCATTTTGACTATTGGAAAAACGTGCTGTACATGCTAGGAAGCATGGGAGTCATGGGAATATACTACTGATTACTCTTGTCCTTAATGTAAGATACTATATTAAATCTTTTTGGTACCTATTATATTGTGCTACATGGGCTCTTCTCTTTTTACATGAAGATGATGGTGGTATAAAGGCTACAGCTACTGGAGGCTTGAAAGTGACTGCTAAACACCTGAGTATTCCTTAAAGGCTTGTTATTATTCCATGAGGGTAATTGTATGCATTCTTGCCCTTTAGAAGTGTTCACGGAGTGTTCACCTTTTTTAATTTTGTTTATTATATTATTTGTTTTAATTTGTTTACTTATTTATTTATTTATTTAGTTATTTGGTTTTAGTGTTTATATTTTATTTTTATTTATTAAGTAATTAATTAATTTATTTATTTATTTTGATTTTGGAGTGTACACAGTTTGCCACAGTTATTAGTTTATTTAATAGTGTACACAGAGTGATTGCACAATTCATGTGTTACTCACAGTTGAATCAGTTTTTTTTCTTTCCACGTATTTAAGTATATACTTATTAGTTGTGAAAGTATATACCTATTATATGGAGGTAATACACTATTTTAGTTTTATGTTATCGAGGTATTCACCGGGTCCGGAGTGATGGAAATATTGAAATTGGACACACAGGATTGAGAGATTGTTTTGGACTTGAAAATATATTTTTGGGACTTTATTTTATTGAATTTATTTTATATGGTATGATTTATTAACTATACTTAAGGAAAGGAAAAAGGTTTGAATAATATTTTACTTTCAAGGGTGAAAGTGTGACTTTTTCTTGGGATCATAATTTGGGTTATACACAATGTGAGTTTTATTTATTTAGATTTTTGAGTTGCCGAGTGATAATTTATTTATTATGTGCTATCTTGGCATACCTGCAGAGATGAGTTCATGTAGTTGCGACTTCCAGCAGAGACAAGTTCCAGGTGTTGGTCTCATCGGGCAAAACTCAAGTCTTGTTCAGATGTGCAAGATAGTTGTGGCATCCCTACACCTTTCCCAGGTTTTGTTGTCTTCAGGGGTCTGAGGAGATGGCCAAGGCTGGGAAAGGGAATTGGCCTTTTCCCACAGTGGATCCTCCAGACTCTCATGCAAGGTCAATAAGATGGGCTACCAGCCACTCACACTCTCAGACTTGGCACAGTCTCTCAATTTATACTCACAGGTGCAGTGGGTTGGACCCAAAAATCCCACCAAAGGACCATGAAAGTATTAACCCCTAACCTCCCATCTGGGACAGCACATACCTAACTAATTCTAACCTGCTTACAACTTTGCCCTTTACTATATATATATATATATATATATATATATATTTGTAATTGTCAAAAATATTGGGACGCCTGTTTTTACACACACATGAACTTTAATGGCATCCCAGTCTTAGTCTGTAATTTTCAATATTGAGTTGGCCCACCCTTGGCAGCTTAGCAGTGTGTCTATTGGATTGCTTGAGAAGTGCATTTGTGAGGTCAGGCACTGATGTTGGACTAGAAGGCCTGGCTTGCAGTCTCCGCTCTATTTCATCCCAGAGGTGTTCTATCGGTTTGAGGTCAGAACTCTGTGCAGGCCAGTCAAGTTCCTCCACCCCAGACTTGCTCATCCATATCTTTATGGACCTTGCTTTGTGCACTGGTGCGCAATCATGTTGGAACAGGAATGGGCCATCCCCAAACTGTTCCCACAAAGTTAGGAGCATGAAATTGTCCAAAATGTCTTGGTATGCTGACACCTTAAGAGTTTCCTTCACTGGAACCAATAGGCCAAGCCCAACCCCTGAAAAACAATCACACACCATAAACCCCCCTCCAGCAAACTTTACACTTGGCACAATGCAGTTAG